ATTTGCACGCTGCTGCATATTTTATAAATCCTCATTTCCAATATGAACTTTCATTCTCTTCTCATCATGAGATTAAATTGGGACTTTATTCTTGCATGGAGTGATTGATTGGTGATTCAGAAGAAAGGGAGAAAATGGATTTGCAGATTCTTTTCGAAATGCACAAGGTTTATTTGGATAGGTAATTGCAGTAAGCATGAGGAAGAAGAGAAGTCCAGGTGTGTGTTTTTACTATTATTAGTATGTTTGTAATAATATCTTTTATTTTATTTTTTTGATAAACCAGAAGATGAACCTAAAATGGGATCACATTTCAACGATTTTTTTTCTATCAATTTAATAAAATAACATTACTATTTTCAGCGGATTGGCAGAGAGCTTTTGGAGATCAAACGCCTGAACTTGCAAAACTTGCCATTAGAATCTTGAGCTTGACTTATAGTGCTTCTGAATGTGAATGGAATTAGAGCTCCTTTAATCAAGTAAAAATATAAAGTATTTTGGTTTTATATGTTTTTTGATTTTCATCTTACTGAGCTTTAGTATTTTAATGAACAGGTGCATACAAAGAGAAGAAATTGCTTGAAGCAAGCGAAACTTAATGATTTGGTTTACATTATGTTCAATTTGAAACTGAAACACAGGGAGTTAAAGAAAACAATTGAAGATCACCTTTGTTTTGATGATGTAGACTCTGGCGATGAATGGATCTCAGAGCTCCAAGATCCTGAGGTAGAGGCCTATGAAGATCTTGATGCAAATATAGCTCTTGATGACCCTTTTGAAGTCAAAGAAGGTGAAGTATCTCAACATACAAAGAAGAGAAAGAAGAAAAACAAAGGTATAAGAAAAAGTATAAAAGTATAAAATATATATATTATATATATATATATATATATATATATACATATATATATATATATATATATATATATATATATATATATATATATATATATATATATATATATATATATACATATATATATATAATATATAATATATATATAATATATATATAATATATAATATATATTATATATAAAATATATATAAACAAATAAAGTAAAAAAGTATAAAAGTATAAAAAAAAAAAAAAAGTAAAAGGTATAAAAACAAAGGTATAAGGTATTTGAATAATTTGTTTTATTTATTTGGTTCTACTTGAACTCAAACATTTATATATTTTCTTTAGGTATAGAAAAAAATCCAATTGATGACGATGAGGAGGATTTTCCTCATGCGAGGGAGGAAAGCAAAGAAGAAGAGGTTGAAATGAATTTCATGGACGATTCTCTCGAAAATCCTAATAGTAGCAAAGTTTCTGTTATATATAACTTTAAGCAAACTGTGATTTACAGAAAGTAATTACAGCCATATAAAATGCATACAGGGCCGTTCTGAGTTGAAAAGGGGTTCTGTGATAATTAAAGTGTAAATGTGATTGTACAGACTTTTTTCCCCTGCTTGGGGAACTGTCTATCCCCCAAACTCACGGCTATACCCGTGTGACTGAGGATCTTCAGCCCAGCAAAACCCTTGCATACTCTTTCTCCCGATGCGTAATTTTTAAGAAAACCCCCTATATTTACAGCCTCATTCCTAAAACTGTGATACCCGGCCCTGAATTACTTGAATAACCTTTATTAAAAATTTATATTACAATCATTTCAAATATTTTATTCACATATTTTGACTAAATTTTTTAAGGTTTTACAAGTAGTAGTAATGATGTTTCATTTTTGATAACATCAAATTAGATGTTATCAAATGCAGCTTTAATTTTTTCAGCAGCAACAATGAATGTTTACTTGACTTTTATCTCTGACGGCTTTATAAAATGCTGTTACGTCATTAATAAGAACTTCTCTTTAAAGAATTTTTTGTCTTGCTAATCTTTTTATGGTTGCTCCTATACCATCACATGATCATTTTCTGTGAGAGATAGCATAAAAAAATGAGAAGTTTTCTGCTTAGTCAACTTGCACCTTTGTCATAAAGAGGAATTTTTATACCAATGTAATGTAATGTTTTTAGTATAATGTTTTCATGTTTTTGATATGAACAAATATTTCTAGGCATTAAGTTTGGTAAAAGTATACGGCCTGGTCTCTTGGATTTTTCTGATTAAAAAATCAGTAAGTTGAGAAGTTTTCTGCTAAGTAAGTTCATTTTTAAATACTTGATAACACTTTACTTAAATTTATTGTGAAATTTCTTTTTTGCACTTTCTTATTTACTTTATTACTTCTTAAATATCTTTTATTTGACAGTTTATTTTTTTTAGATGTTATGGTAGAATTGAAAAGTTAAAAAGTGTTAACATTACTACCTTTAACTTATAGGGAAATTAGTTCTAGTTACCAGATATCAAAAGGCATGAATGAAATTACTTTCTGTAAATCACAATTTGCTTAAAGTTATATAAAGTTACCATAAGTTACTTTCAAGATAGCACAGAAACTGGTAACAAGCAAAGCCTCTTTTTCTGGATGCCTGCCAGGATATATCATTAAAAAATACGTGTGTTAGATGCATGCCTAGAAAATTTTTATAAAATTGAATTGTAAGTTGTTTAACAACAGTGGCATTTTTAAGAGGAGAAGTTGGAAGAGCACAAATTACTTTGTTTACAGCTTTGCCAAATGTACAATAGTAAGTGACAAGAGTTGATTTTTGATCGGGGCTGGATTTAATAAAACATAGCCGGGGCCAGGGCCGGGTTTGTGATTGGGGCTGCATAAACATTTATAAATCCCAATATATACTTTTTTAATTCAAAATTTATGTTATGTTTTGTATATATATATGTATATATAAACATCATTATGATCAACATGATCATCACAATCATCATTACCATCATCATCATCATCATCATCATCATCATCATCATCATCATCATCATCATCATCATCATCATCATCACCATCTGATCATCCTCTCTTTCGGCAAATACTATACCATATAAATACTATAGTTTATATAAAAATGAAAGGATATTGTATGCCAGCATCTAAATAAATAACAAACATATATGTTTATATCCATCATATGTATGCATAAAGCCTATCTCTGAAGCTTTTATTCTTTCTGGACTAAAAGTTTGAAAGGTTTAAATCATACTCTTCAATTTTAAGTCAAGCCTCATTCTACTCCACATTTTTCAACATCTTGAGCAATTGTTTTATTAAACATTACTCTTTTTTTTTCATCTTTTTTTACAAGAACAATTCTCTGTAAAAGCAAATGCCCTTTAATTATTCCAAGAAACCAATGTGAAAAGATCCTGTCTGATGTTAAGCTCTATTATTCTCAGTTTACTAAATCTTGACCCATTGTTAAATATCCAAATCACTCTGGCTTCTAATTCTAGAGTTAATTCTCAATAAAACTCTTCTAGAGTGTGTGCTTCAGGCAAGATTTCCATCATAGTCTTAAAAAAGTGTTCTCCGGAACTCTCTTCAATTTTTACTAAACTTTTAAAAAGTGTATACTCTTGTCTTGACAAAAAATATTCACTTTTTGATTGCAGAACAAGCAGCTGATTTTAAATCCAATCTCTCTTCTGTAACAGCCTAAAGCTTGCAGTGCCTTATGGATTTATATTCTGGACTTAAAATCCACAATTTTTTTTTGACAAGAAAACTCAATTATGAACTCATTTATTTGCCTAACTGGAAGTCCCTTGCCTATTGTTTTTTATTAAAAAAAACAAAGGTAAATTGTTTATACATTTTATGATATTCTACCGATTATTACATTTTGACTATGAAATAGCTTTAAGGCTCAATTTTATAAAAAACTAAATGCGAAATTAAATAAAATAATAAATGCTGCATCATATAAAACACATTGTGACATGTATAATGTAGAAAGCCAAGCTCAGGGTGGGTGGGAAAATATTTCGAAAACTATTAAACTTAGACTGCTGTGTATTATGTACTTAAGAATTTTTTTTCACCTTTTTTTTCCTTTGATTTTTCATAATTCCTGTTTTTTAAGTAAAAAATTGAAGTAAATTTGACCATGTTTTTTTTCTGTTTAAGCAAATACCACTCTCTAATTCTTTGAAATAACTCTAACTAAACTATTCAGGACTAAATCTGGATTAAAAAAAAAAAATCAAGCTACATCAGCATTTTTGCAATTTAACTTGCCCTAGTAAAATTGCAATAAAGGTCAAAATTACAGGTGTTATTCTTATTTAAACTTTTTAAGTTGTTTATTGGATTCCTTGCCTCAAAATATGTACACATTTTCAGCTTTTGATTGCGCACACAACAGAAACAAAAACCAAAACCATTTTTTTAAATGATGGATTTTTGTTATTTTAAGGCAAAGTTTGAATAGCCATATCTTTGAAACCATTTGGAATTAGATGATAAAATTTTGGGAATGTTTGGGAATGAAATTTTTGAGTGGTTTAAAAATCAGACTTAAGGTTGCATGCCCTGGATGTGTAATAATAAAATATATTTGTTTTTTCTTACTGTCTTTCTGAATATCTTTACTCAATATATATACATTTGCAAATACCCCCAAGAGTATAACAAACAGTATAAACGTTATGTACAATATAATATATACAACGCGCCCACAACATTCCTTCTGACGCAACACGTTAATAGTTTATATATAATACAATTATTTACACTAATTACAACACCCCTTGATCTCTAGATCACAAAGTCCGCATACTTATTCGGAAACTGAAATCTTTGAATGAAAAAAATGAAATCTTTGAATGGTATAAAAATCAGACTGGTATAAAGATCAGGTTGCATGCCCTGAATGTTTTCACATGGAATCAATCAAAAAATCAGGTTGCATACCCTGGATGTATTCACATGGAATCACCCACAAATGAAAGCCACTCATAAAAGATTTTAGACAATTTTAGAGTTTTTACTTATAAAGTATTTAATATTAACAAAATAATAACAGTAATAATACACCTTAATGTTTAAATGAATAAACAATATCTTATAATATCTTACCCTTATTAAATCCTCTGACAATCCAGGTGAAGGATAGTTATGAAGAAATGAGGAAAGATCCTGATCAACATGTTCAAATACTATTGTTAAAATCAAATCTGTTGGATTATCCATTGGAGTTGTAGATTTAGTTTGAAAAGCATCAAACACCCTATGATAATAATTTTCAATATTATAATTAAAATATTTTTTTCTTTGCTAGCTGATAAATTTTTTTTTCAAAATATTAATCTTTTTGAGAGTGAGTATTATTTTTTTGAATTCTACAAAACTTTTTTCATACTTTAACAAAGATAACACAATTAGCTTTAAAATTTATGTAATTTAGTTTTAATTTATAAAATATTTTACTTAACCATTATGTTGCTTAATTATATATTATACCTTACAATGTTAGGATGACAAATATTATCTAACTGCTTAAGAAGGGCAATTTCTCTCAATGTGGAAACAGGAACACCTTTTTCTTCATTAGACTGACTAATACAAACTCTTTTTAATGCAACAACTCTATTGTGTTCAACATCTCTTGCTTTAAAAACAGTCCCGTAAGCCCCTCTTCCTATAATAGAAAGTTCTTCGAATTCTCTGTTTGGTGATAACATCTAATAATAAATACTATGAACCCTGAAATAGTTATAGCTAATATTTTTATTTGTCTGTATTCTGTCAAATTTCAACAAAAACAATATATTTACCAGAAATATGGACATATAGATTGGTAACGTTTAAAAATATAAAAATTGTGATATTCACTCTCGTAAGGTTCACTCTGTTATAGCGGAACTAAATCACGGAGAGCAACCACAGACAAAGAAACAAAAA